TATATATATATATATACTTGTATATATACCATATTTATAGTCATTCGATTTTTTCATTTGCTTATATTGTATAAATAATATTAAAAGAAAAAATTTTCTTTTCACTGTATTTTCCGAAATTGCCCTCTGTTCTCAAGAATTTTTCTTCAATTCTTTCTTTTCTGGCCAATTATCTAATTTAAATTTCATTTATAATTGTCAAGAACAGAATGAAAAACCAATTTCTTCAATATATCTTTTAAGCAATTAGAAGATGTTTTGCTAGAGATGAATGGTACAATATTACATTACAGCACTATTCAAGCCATGTATAATTCTCCTTCAATAAAGGATACTGTTAAAAATACTTCCTTTATGTGTAAATGAAGCTCGTGATTGTGAAATTAAAAGAACGAATAATTTAACTAAAAATTAAGTTACAGTAGTTACTTAAATGTAATAAATATGTACATTAAATTTATGAAATTTAGTGTATTTTTCATAAAATTTTATAAAAAATACTTTAAATTTCATAAATTTTTTCATGAAAAATACATTAAATTTAATCATGAAATTAAATACAAATTGTGTAACTTCAAAGTATATTAAATTTCATAAAATTTTTAACAGTGTAGAATCTGTATTAAAGACAAATGGTAGACCAACTTCTCATTAATAAAAACAATAATATATTTCTCAGATGATGTTCATATTATTTTGTCTATCCCCGTGTATCATTTCATTATCAAAATAGATTATACTATGCCGTTGCATAGATTAGATACTTCAGTGTAATGATCCAGTTTAATGCAAGTGACCGCATTTACCATAACACTTACTTTCGCGGCTTTATAATCGAATCTTATGCTGCGCCTTTTAATGAGCATATTGAAAAAGTCGATGTCCAGTTCAATATTTTTCTCCTCTGCAGTTTTGATGAGTATATTCTCAGCGGGCACCGTGTTTGGAATTAAATCCAGGAGTAACGTAATAGTTTTGATATTAGGTGTAACACCATCGTTGGACATTCGACTTAGAAATCCTTCTACACCACCGAATAAAATCAGACGATTCTTGATCAATACGTCATTCAAGTTTACCGAATTCTGTACAGTTACATCGGTATCACGTTGCACAATGTTCTGTTCTTTTCCCATTGGTAAAAGTGTGCTCAACATAGGCGGAGAGGCCAACAAATCTGGCTTCTCGCCTTCCAACATCGAAACCCTAGTTTGATCGAATCCCGAGAGAAGAACGTCGTCGGGCTTTAAATTTCCTAAATTCGTGTCCCTGATCGCTCTCAGGAGAAGATTATAAGTAGTCAAAGATGGTTTGATATTTTTCATGCGCATTAAATGCCACACAATTAAAGCATGTCGCAGGCCAGCCTCCTTGTCAGAAATTGCCCCATGGAACAAAGAGTTGTAAGTGATCTCTCCGATAGGAATACGTCTGTCTCTCATCTCGTCCGCCAGTTGAAAGGCCTTAACGATCTGACCGTGCCAACTGTACGCCTTTACCATGACATTATAATGCGCATCGTTCAGCGAAAACTGCCGCTCATAAAGAGACTTTCGCAGCCTGTTAAGATGCTCCAGAGCTACTTCGCTGTTATCAGATAAAGCACACGCGTTAAACAGACTAGTGTAGGTCGCCGCGTTTGGTTGCAATCCATACTTCTTTGCCTTGTTATACAGACTGAAGCATTGCTTTACGTCACCTTGTTTGGCTAACCCATATAATAAGAGATTGTACAAGTACATCGTGGGCTTGTCTCGGTTCTCTTTCATTAAGTCGAGGACCTGTAAAGCGGAATTCAAATCATTCTTAGATATATGTGACTTGATCATTTTAGCGTACTGGCCCAAGCTAGGCTTCAATCGACGTGGAACGCGCGCTTCTGTATCTTGAAATTTCTCCTCTTCCTGCTCGCGCTCATCCATTGGAATTCGCTCAAATTTCCTGCCTGAGATGTCTCCGAAGACATTGGCGCTCCTCGGGAATTTTTCAGTACAAAAATTGCTGACCAAAAATTGCAATTTATACTGCAATTGCTCATTTTTGGCTGCACAATAAATATATTAAATTTGTTTTTGTATAATAATTTAATAATATATAATATAAATGTTAATTAGTATTAAATTCTTTGCAGTATATTGCTGCATTGATAGAAAAATTTGTAGAAACACATCTCAAAGTTAACAACTTTTCAGTAGAACTTCAGTAGAACCAAATTCTTTCTGAATTTTAATTAAAAGTGAATTTAAAGGACAAACATTTTTTATATAAACGGAAATATTCAGATTAAAAAAAAACTCGTCATTATATAAACATCAAAGAGTACTGAAATAAATTATTATAAAATATAAAATTATAAATAAAGAGCAATAATCTACTAAATCGATTAATACGCATAATTTCACTTCCTTTTTATGTTATATTTTTAATTATAATATATTTTTTAAAATAATGTCACGAGTTTTCAAAATTCGAACACTGTCACTTTGTGTTACAATTGTGTAAATTTCGTCACTTATCAAAGTTGTGACATTTTTTCATGTAGGCAACGTGTTGACAAATGTATGGTTTTTTTACAAAATTTTATTAGAATCGATTTCCATTCATTATCTAAAAAATGCTAACTTTTTATTGATTACTTTTCTATCAACACAGCGATACGTAAAAAGTAAAATTTTATTTTCTAAAACCAATTTAAAAAAAGACACTTGAATATGATATAAAATACGGAATACTTATTTGTTCATTTTTACACGTACATTGTTTTGATATGATTGAGTGATTGAACTCATTGACATAACCTATGACGTTTTTGAGTTTGATTGATGCGCGAAGTTTTTGACAAAACATTTCACATAAATGAAAATATTCGTATTAAAAAGAAAACTCGTCTTTATTTAAACATCAACTTTTAAAATACTGGAACGAAATGTATTGAATTTTAAGCGAGATAAAATTATATATATATGACACAACGTGACAACTGATGGCAACAGAAAGAATCTGATCTAAGAATGATTATCCCGGTTTTTTGTGTATCAAATCTCGTAAGATAATGTTCATAATTTTATGGTTCTTTTCCATGCTATTACGTTGATTAGACGTAAGGATAAATGTTTTCAGCTGAAAATCAATGTACAAGTACACACTAGAACGTTACATACATTAATTAAGTACTATTTAAAATGTTATTGGAAATAAATACAAGATTAATTATATATACTTCAGACGTGGCATTAAATTGTAGCCTACAAATTTTATACATTCCATAATGAAATTTTTTTCTCGGAATTATTTTAAATTTTTTATTAATTTTATAACTTTTTAGAAAAATCTCAGATTTTGAACACTTAACTTTCAGAAATAATGAGAAAATCAAACCAATATCATTTTCTAAAATTTTTCATAATTAATTCTGAATTAATATTTAAGATTTTTTAAGATTTTTAATTCTATTTATTATTTTTGATGAAATCTTTTGATGGAATCTGAATAAGTTTAAATTAAGTTTTTTTTTTCAAAAATTATATAAATTAAGGCCCGTATTCAGAACGCGTTTTTATCTTTGAAATTCTATAGTATACGTAACATAAATTATAGCATTAGCGCGCTACATCGTTGTAAGCGTGTTCTGAATACGGACCTAAGTCTTCCCTTGTAGAGAGCCTACAATCAGAGTGACACCATACGGGTATCACTTGTGATTGGTTCGCCATGTTTTAGTCATCATGTTTTAGCTATTCCCTCCTTTTTTAAACGCATTATTTTCTAAATTTTGAATTCATGCTAAAAAATGGTCAAAAATTGTGACAAATTAAAAAATGATAATAAATAAATATTGTTTATAAAATAATAAAACTTTTACATATATTATTTATTATAAAATTTCATTTATTTTGTATTATTGTAATATTGTACATTTTGTAATATTGCACATTACTTTATACAAAACGTTATTTATTACACATTATTTGCGCTATTAAATGCGTTAGTTTATTATCCATTCTCTTCCTACATTTTAGGAACAAAATGCATCTGTAATAATATAAAAAAAATCAGAAAAATTTAGAAAAATATTATATGGGTCATCTAAAAAATATCCATGGTTTTTGTCACTAGATGGTGTTGACCATCAATATATGTATATATATTTATTTCATAAAATATTATATATTAAATATCGTAATTATCATATTATTTGATTTAGACTCACAATGCAATGATAATTGAAAAGATTACAAAAAGAGAAAGAATTAAATTCGTAACCAATGTGATGACTATACATATACTTAGTGCCAAGACACTACCGTGTCTTCA